ATGCTCACGTGGCTTAGCTGGACTAACGATAACACAGCAAGACTTAAGATCAACAAAGCCCTTGGGATCCACGAAATACTGTCTGAACTTTTCAAAGCCAGCGGCGAAGAGCTGATCAGACCATTCCCACGACAGTCGAGTCTACCCAGATTTCTATCTGGTCAAGGATCACTCCCCACCATCACTCCCAAAAACCTCTTTACAACAAGCTAATCAGGTGGATGTACCAGCTGTTAAACGCAATTCGGTCTGATGCAAGCCTCATTAATAGGACGTGCCTTGGTCTGATGAATACATAAATTATGAAGACCGGACTGATGGCCAGTGCTGCTAGTTGAGTCTTTTTCAAGCTATTTCTAACCTTTTATTTTATTTCCTGGCCTAGAAATTTGGGATCTATATACCTTCTACGCTGTTCTCTACCTTTTTTTGGCTTCTGAAATACTATTTTTTAATATATTTTAGGCGGCCGCTTTGACCGAGTGGTTAGAGGTGCGTACTACCGCTTCATAGGACCTAGGCTCGATTCCTAGTCCCAGCAACATCTAAATTATAAACAAAGTAAAAAGCTTCTCATAAAATCCATTTGCCGTATAGAGGCGGCGTAAAACTGTAGGTCACTCCCATAGACGAGAAATACACATCTTAATCTACAAATCGTTTATGTTGTTGTTTTATCAGCAGTTAGTTGTATATTCATCTTTGCCATCTAACTCCTCCGACCTTTGGCCCAGTAAGCGAGCGGCCACGATCGGTGATGTCCACAGCGCTTCGGGCGACAGATAGATGGCGTAGTTAAAGGCCCTATACACGCATTGATTTATCGGCCAACCAGTTGACCAACCTACTTAACGAAATTCCCTACAAACGCACCAACTAGTTGGCCGATTTCATTTGAGTGAGAATATTTGAACTGTGAACAACACAACAGCACTGGTAAACTTTTAAGCTATGCTAGGAATGCTTCTCATTTGTATGTATTTATTGTTGCTACCGCCCCAATTGCGCAAATTATACGTACTTTTACTAGCGAAACGAACTGAAAAACACATGTTAACGTTGATGCGCCTTTAAAAAAATGAAATCGCATTATAGTTTGCCAACTTGTCTACACACAGAGCAACAAGTTGGCAAATCTGACGAACAACTTGACGAAGGTTTGCCAACTTGCCTACACACGGCTTATTTACCACTAACTCCTAGCGGTTGGCCAACTGGTTGGCCGATAAATCGATCCGTGTGTAGGGCCTTTAAGGGCATGCGGTGCCGCACAGTGGGACGTCTCCATATAAGCAGCGGCCAAAAGGTTGTAATCGTACTGAGTAAAAATTTCTCAAGTGGGTCCCTCAAAATTTAGAATATATAACCCTGAATTAGGCGCACGGGGTCAAGGCCATTTCAAGTTGTAAAAAAATGTCTTGGAGTGCTTGGAGCGTGCTCGCGCTCCTTTTAGCTTCTTAACTACCCGCGGGGTACGTAAATAAGTCACGGCCAGAACATCGGCGTGTACACATGTGTCGCTACTCTTTTAAGCCCTGACCCCAAAGTCAAAGTTCTTTCATAAAGTTAACTATAATAAAGAGATTTAATATATATGAAAATACACACTTCGTTTTATTTATTCAGTCACGGCTAGAACATCGTCGCGTACATATGTGTCGATACTAGCTTGAGTGCTGACCCCAGCGACCACTAACGTAAAATTTTTTGGAGGAGGAAAGTTTTTAATTTTTTTTTTAAGTTTAAAGTGGAAAATATGTTTTTTGTTTTTTTTTTTTAAGTTAACGACAATAGACTGATTTAATATTTTTGATAATACACATTTCGTTTTTTTATTTAGAAAACTACTTTTTCAACACTTTTATTGGGGTCACTTGGGGGTCCCCATGCGACTAGTTGTGTGATTTTCTTTTCTTCTTTATTGCAATATGATACTGTGCAAAATTTGTTGCAAGTTATATGCAATTGATGTAATGTGGAACGATTTTCCGTCATCCCTTGTCAAATTTGGTTTGGAGACAAACCGGTTTCGGCGTTGTGCCATCTTCAGTGTCATTTTTATATGCAATTATTTTTTTTATGCAGACTGTTACTAAAACTAAAACTTTAACCTGTATTCGTTTTTGAATTTTTTTATTTTTATATATACTTATTAGTAAATTTGTACATAAACATTTTTTTTACTTCTGGGGCTCCGATTTTATTCGGACAAAATAAATTGAGGTTAGCACTCGCTCGCTCTCAATTGGGAGAAAAAAAATGTTGTTCAACTCTTTTTTTGTTTACACTACAGCGTTTTTTCGATCACAGTGCATACGCTGGTATGACACTCGCTATAATTGATTTTTCTTCTGTAGATCACAGTTGGCTACGAATTCTTATTATATATATATATATATATATGTACAGTCAGCGTTAAAAATATGCATACCTTGACGTTTCGACGTTTTTATTTATTTATACTTTCCATGCCAAATTTTTCTTATTTTTCTATAAAAATATGGTCATTCGGCAGCAAAAACCACAAGAATTCATTTTTTTAATTTCATGCAGAACTGGAAAATGCAAGAAATTCCAGCGGTAACAATGCTTTGGCCCGGCTCAAACCATTTATACCGCTGCTCTGCTCTGCCTGCCTTATCGCACTATATTTTCTGCGAGTATGAAGTTTGTTTGTGGGTATTAAAACAAAACATTAAAAGAGAAATAGTCAAATCAAGAAAAATGAATATACTTTAAATCGCTCCAATACTTCTTCCATTTTGCACCATCCTCTTGAGTGCCACCAAGACCATTAAGGCTCACCGCCAGTTCTTTCCACTTTTCTTCACGAAATTTGGCACCATCTGCCGCCACAAATCTATAATTATAAATAATTGATATTCGTTTTTTATATTGAAAAGGCTGCATACTTATCGTTTGCAATGTCTACATTGTCTTCCAAATAGTTTATTAAAAACTCTTTTTCACGTATAAACAGGCTGTGAATAATTTTTTACATATGAAAAGTTTTTGACAGTTGGGTGCTCTGCTTGATAGAACGAGAATCGCCAGGGTTGTGAAAAAGTGAAGAGTTTCGTTGCGTCTCACTTTTTTTTCATGTGAAAACATTTTGACATCTCTTTTCATATTTTCACTGAACGCGAATCGAAAATGCAATGAAAACGTGAAAATAGTTTTCCTTTCACCATTTCACAGAACGAAAATTTACCCCCTGAATTACCAACAAATGATGAAATTTTATATGGCGAATTACGTAATTCNATGAAAACGTGAAAATAGTTTTCCTTTCACCATTTCACAGAACGAAAATTGACCCCCTGAATTACCAACAAATGATGAAATTTTATATGGCGAATTACGTAATTCGAAGGGTAATTGGCGAGCAAATTACGAATAAGAGAGCGAACTACATAATTGGGGTGCCGTGAGAAGCCGTATAACTGTCTATGATTTTTCGAAGACAGTAAATTGGACAATTCGGTCACGTCTTGGCTAAATGCAAATTTTGGGGAGTAACATCGATACATCGATGCTAAAATACATCGCCAGAAAAACATCGATATATCGATGGTTTCCGATGTTTCAAAATTTGTTAGGTTGTAGTCACATTAAAAGAAAAATTTAATACTTTTAAATTCCAACTCTTTGTAATAATTCAATTAGAAAAAGACTTACATATGGATGTATTTCCCTTTATTTATTTACCATTCCTTTACCCTTCCTATAAACAGAATAAAAATGCCTGCCGTCGTTAGCNTCCAACTCTTTGTAATAATTCAATTAGAAAAAGACTTACATATGGATGTAATTCCCTTTATTTATTTACCATTCCTTTACCCTTCCTATAAACAGAATAAAAATGCCTGCCGTCGTTAGTTCGCTGAGCCTAAAGTTCCAAGGCCCGATTTCGTTGAAATTTCAACGGGATCCTGGTCCATTTTTAATGACTAAGTAAGCATTTTTAATATCGAAAGTGAAGTCGGAATTTCTGAATGTTCCTTAAAAGAATAACTAATAAAATTAATGGCCAGTAAAAAAATTTTAGGAGCATAAATCGATGTTAAAACATCGCGGAAACTGATGTATCGCCAATTTAGCGATTTTGGGAAATTGTAAACAGCAATGGCAAACATCGAATTTTGAACCCATATTATCGATGTTTGAAAAATATCGATGCATCGTTTGCATCCCTAGTCTTGGTTAATTTGAGAAAAAGAGGCAGGACAAAATCGCACAAAATCGCAGAATCAGGAAAAAGTGATTTGTGTTTGGATATTTTAGTAAATAATATGAAATTCACGCCAAATGACGCTAATGGCGCTTGCTGAAAAATGTATTGTCTTAATAATTGTCTGGACGCCTAATTTGACAACTAATACATACTAGCAGAGCCCCCGACGTCGTCCGGGGTAAACAAATCAAAATATATAACAGTAATACAAATATTCTGTTCAGCACAAATTAGAGGAGGAAAACTATTTTCTTCAACTACTATATCGATGGCTGAGTGGAAGATCGACCTATCTCGGTAGCCAGTTCGAAAACGCTCTATCTCAAAAAACTTTTCAAGAACGCCCTATTTCAGAATTCGTTTCAAAAACGCCCTATCTCAGCTGTCGATTCAAAAACGCCCTATATCAGCACATTTTCAATACATTTTGAAGTGAGATAGGGCGTTTTTGAACCGAATTTTGAGATAGGGTGTTTTTCAATTAAATTCTGAAATAGGGCGTTCTTGAAAAGTTTTTTGAGATAGAGCGTTTTCGAACTGGCTCCGAGATAGGTCGATCTTCCACTCAGCCATCGATATATTGACTTGTTCCATTACTAATATAAGGTGGATTAAGGAACGATAGAATTTTCAAATTTAGATTAGTCTACTATGGTAGATTCCTTTAGCTTCCTATTCGCTTAGCTCTTTTAGTATAGCTGCATTTTTCCGGTAGAGTGCTTATTTCAGAAGTAGTTTCATTCATTATACATGCGCATGTTTCATTTCAGAGCATCGCCGGATCAATAAAATGATTTAATCCTTCCATTTCAAAATGGTCTAAAGGCTTTAAGGTTTCAAAAAAAAAAAACCCAGTTTTTTAATATCAGAGCGGTCTAATAGTTGAATACATATTTATCCCAGTTTTACAAACACATTTATATATACTTTATTCTTAACACCTCCCATATATATGTCTGCATACCAAATTTCAGGTTCATGTGACTTATGGTTCCCAATTTATGGCTGGTTAATATTTCCCTTTTACAAATCCATTTATATATGCCTTACTATAAACTCCTACCATAGATATGTCTGCATACCAAATTTAAAGTTCATGTGACTTATGGTTTCGAATTTATAGCTGATAAAAAATTTCACGCCTATGGGATGTGCCACGCCCCTTTTGCAGACTCACTTATATACACCTTACTATAAGCACCTACCATAGCGGTGCCTGCATACCAGTTTGAAGCTCGCGGTGCTTATGGTTCCCAAGTTATAGCTGATAAAAAATTTCGCGGCTATGGGATGTGCCACGTAGCCTATTACAAACATGTATGTTGTATATGTATATACCTTACTATCAGCACCTACCATAGATATGTCTTCATACCAAATTTCAAGTTCATGTGACCTGGTGTCGAGTAATAGCTGATAAAAAATTCCACGCCTATGGGATGTGCCACGCCCCCTTTTACAAACTCATTTATATATACCTTACTATAAGCACCTACCGTAGCTGTGCCTGCATACCAAATTTCACGTTCATGGGGCTTATGGTTCCGAAGTTATTGCTGATAAAAATTTCACGGCTATGGGAGGTGCCACACCCCCTTATCGAATCCCAATTTTTTCTTCCTATTATAAGCCCAGGTGTCATGGCAATACTCTGCCAAAATTTCATTCCATTCTGTCCATCCGTTTAGGCTGCAACCTGGCACATACATTTTATACTTCCACAAATATATAGTAGATTCTCAATTGTCTTGTCTCAAATTGTCTTATGTAAACGCAACGTTAGGGCTGTTAGGAAGCTGTTAAACAAGGCACTAACAGCGAACAAATCTGTCTGAATTTTGCGTTCCAAATGCCTCTGTTAAATTTCCCAGTATGAAATAGCAAAAATGTTAAATTCCATACTACACGATTTCCGCAGAGTAATTTGCACCTTCTCAGTATTATATGTTCTCTGGAGCTGGTTTGCACTGTAGAGCTGCTAAAGCTTTGGTTTCCTCGAAAGCGGTAGATAAAAAAGCGGTCGCAACTTTACGTTGCCAAAAACGTTGCCATGTAAATATTGCAAGATGTCAACTAAGATAACGGCAATACACACCGTAATGTAATTTGACGGTACCGTAATATTTTTGACGGCAACAGTGACGATGTGTAACTATCTATTAACCTTTTTTTGGCAACGTCATATTTGTAGCGGTTAGAATATCGTTAAGAATATCGTTTGGTATAATACGGTCGTAATATTACGGCACCGCTTTTCGAGGAAACCAAAACTTAAGAGGAAATGAGTTGGTATGCGCTGTAGAGCTGATTCGTGGAATAACTTGAACGAATTGTAAATTTTCGCAAATTTCTCGTCTTTATTTTCATTCTTTCTCTGAGTGTGGCGAATATTTATTTATTTATTGAGTTACTGAGTCATATTTTTATTAGAAGTGAGTCCGAGCGTCCGCCACAGTGCTGGAAGTCAACTCAATAGCGCCCTCAGTGCTGAGTTACCCATCTCTATAACAGAGCAACCCTGGTTTTTGGCAGCTGACAAATGGAATTAAATAATTTGCGTGTGCTTTTGCAACCGATTTTCAGCGCTGAAAATTCTATTTGCACAATTTGATAAATAATTGCAAAAATTCACAGTAAAATACGAAATTGTAGCAATAAAGTGAGAAGAAAATGTAAATATAAATATTGCAGAAAACGTGAGTATGCATTCGGGACCAAACAAAGTTTAACCGACTGATTAAAAAATCAATAGATAGATTCCTGAAAGATTAGGAGAAATTATTTACATTGTATCCCATTGGGTGTTGCAGGCATAATTAAACTAATTATATACCATGGTTATGTATGTAGTTGGTTTGTGTGTAAATCTCTGCTGCTTTCTGGTAAGAAAAATTCCTCATCCGTTGTGATTAGCGCTCAATGAACTTATTACAATTGTCCAATCACGCCAAAAGAATGATATTTGATGCCACTACCGGCTATTTGACCAGGCAATAACGTTTCTCACATTTCGCTTTTCGCATGTCGATTGAACCAGGAATCATATGCTAGTGGTAACCACCCGGTGAAAATTTCGTTATAACGTTGTAAATTTCCCAAAAAGATCGTTAATTTTATTGTTTTGAATAACTGGAAATGCATAAAGATGAAATCGTTTAAGATTTGTATCTTTTTACACACCCACTTATATTTATGTTCGACTTTGTAATAATTTTACATTTAATATTTTTTTCAGTTCTGTAACTTTTATATAAAATTTTATTTTTAGATAATCGCTAATAGCTAAAATAAAAAATTTGCATCATTAAAATAATCACAATTGGTTCCCGATTGACAATAAAGCTGCTGGCGGAAACAACCTTTTTACACCGAATAGGTAACATGTTAAGTTAATACACATACATATAAATATCTTTGTATGCACTAAAATATTAATGCAATATTCGAGAAGACTAAAGTTCAACCACGTTTTATTGAATTGTTGAGTTCCATTAATTTACATTCGATTGTTAGTTTCCCCATTTTTTCAGTAAATTGTCTAAATGTGCATACGCACAGAAGCTATGACGAGCTGAGCGGTGCGAAGCTTTCAGAATCGTTCCCACGACAGTCGGGTCTACGTAGCCAGAACAACCCAGCAGCATTCATCAAAAACGTTTACAACAAGTTTTCAAAACTATAACTATATGAAACTTTTCATATAGTAGGCTATTTCAGGAGCATTTTGGAGCTGAAAGTAAAGCTCATTTAGTAAAAATATTTAAATTATAATCGATTTTTATATAAATCTTTTCAAGAGCATTCCACAAATAGGTTTTTCTTTTAAGTGAAGTTTTGCGGTATATTTGCAGGTGTGAACATTAATAGCTTCGCTCCGCTCGGAACAGTCCTGCTTTCTGATTGGAAGATGATGATAGGAAAATGTAAACTGGAACTGATTTCTTAAAAAAGGACAATACGGAGACATAGTTAACATAATTATTTCTTAAATTATACACTCATCCCATCATTGAATAGGCACTTGCGCCCACTCATCTCAACCCACTGAAGATTTTGGTCGGGAAAGGCATTAAAATTGTCTTAATCTGCATGAAATTTCATCGCATAAATACATAAAGTGCTGGTTGGATTAAAAAAAAGATAGTTTTAAAACATCAACCACGGTTAGATTATACAGGTCGCGGTGCTGCCTATTCTTTTAGTCCGGTTTGGAATTAAAAAATACCGTTGCTTTGTGTTTTTGCGTTTAGGACTTCACGCATATTTTCAGTTAATATTTGTATGTTCTAAGTTTATTCACTAGGCCATACATTCCATATTTAGTGTTTTTTCTACCGAGTGTGAAAAAAGTGTTGTTTATTTATGTATGTATGTATTATAATCATCCAAGTCCTGTAAACATTTAAAATTGATAATGAAGATTGCTAGTAACTGGCCGTCTCCATAGGATAAAATTTATTGCTGTCCAGCTGTCATTTTGGTCACTAGATAAATTATATCAGTGGCAATATTTGTGTGGGCTTTTTATATCTTGATATAAGCAACTGTGAGATAGCTTCTAAAACGTATTTTGCCGGATTTAATCACTTAAAAAATTTAGAAAATAGGCTATTTTACATCCAATTACATAATAGCAAATATTTTAACCGAAAACAGTTCAATATTTGCTTTTATAATAAAATATCAATAATGTTGCCGCCATGAAGTTTTCATACAAATGAACATGTAGCTGTCAAACTACCAAATTTCCGGCAATAGATGGCAAGATATAAGCTCTGATATATATTGCTCTTGAAGAGCAATGAGCGGTCTCCATTGGCTATGTATTTTCAAACATATGTGTCAAGATATAAACTTTATCCTGTGGAGAGACGGGCAGTAATGGCGACGATCTGACATGATATCAGTGCGCAGTCTGCTTTTCACTTTCGAATTGTTGCACATGTGGCATTTGTTGCAAAATTTGCGGCATTGCCATATAATTTGAGCTGGCAATCATTCTTTCGCACTCATAATTATTATGAAAAGACTTATAATAAAAATCCCAAAATAAAAGTCTTTGAAGACTTAAAAATATTTATCTTAATGATAACACTGATAAACACGTATTTTGCTTACCAAAGTGTGCTTCTGATAAATTTACGTTAAATTATTCGGCCTTATCACGAATACCATGGGAACAAAATATTCCCAAAAATTATAAAGCTAAACAAAAACAATTTTTCCAACTTGTTTTTGTTTTGCCTGTTAAGCTATGGAGCGATTTATTCACATGGAGTTAGCGATAAGGATGATTATTGACATTAAAACGGTATTTTTTGTGATTGTGATGCTCAGAGTGTATGTAAATCATCCTGATAACTTTTGTTATATTTGCGGTCAACTCAATCTTCGTCTTTACTTTTTACGGTATCTTCATCCTCATCTTTGTTTTTACTTTTATGTTTATGATTTTCCTCATCTACATATTCCCCTTCACCTTTGCCCTTATATATGTATATAAGTAAAGTGTTTACATATACCTTGGTCTTCATTTCTTTCTGTTTTTATTTTTACCTTTGCCTTTACGCTTTTCTTTATCCATGTACGTAGTCACCGTTACTTTCATTCTTGTATTGGTCTTTTTCTAAGTGTTATACTTTAACCTTTTATTAGCAAATGTTTGTTAAATTAATACCATATGTATACATATAAGAAACACTTGCTTCAGCCCCAACCATTTCCGTTGCACCATTTCCGTTGCATCATTTCCGTTGCACCATTTCCGTGTGCAGTTTCCGTTGAATTTGCCAATTTACTCCCAACCAACCAACCGCCGCAAAAGAAGTTTCACTTCAAAAAGGTTTTTTCTTAACAGCGGTCGCCCCTCGGCAGGCAATGGCAAACCTCCGAGTGTATTTATGAGATGAAAAATATCTTCTCATAAAAATACAATCGCCGTTCGGAGTCGGCGTAAAACTGTAGGTCCCTCCCCTTTGTGTGACAACATCGAGGCGCACACCACAAATCGGAGGAGTAACTCGGCCAAACACTAACATATGTGTAAGCGTCAATCTATTATTATTATTATTATGACCTTGGCATGACCTCTAGATGACCCTCGGTTTCAGCGACAACAAAAATAAATTTTTTTTTTTTTTTATTGAATAATTTTTTTGTCCTATTTGACCTTCAAATGACCTCGAAGCTGACATTATGGGGGTTAACGGACCTCGGATTCGGGATCAACGAATCTAAAATCTTATATATATATGAATTTTCAGGTTTATTCAATGAATTTTTCCCTACTTGACCTTCAACTGACCACGAACCTGACGTGATGGAGACTAACGGACTTTGGATTCGCAGTCAGCGTGTCGTATAACATAGGGACATATAGTTTATATACAGTGACGAGCAAAACTGTAACATGTTATAACACTTTTTATTTCAGCCACCGCTATCTATCCAAGTTCTAACGACTTTCGTACATATGTTGTATATTCTTATTGGTACACCCCTACTCCCTCTCTCATAAAGATGTGAAGTCAATCCAACAACAAGAATAAAACCAGCAGGCAAAAATGTAAATTAAGGCCAATGTTACAGTTTTGCACTAACTCTCAGTTTTGCATTTTACAGTTATCTTTTACTTAGTTGGAAGTCAGATGACTTTTTTCTGTATTGTAATTTATTCAAGAAGTGATCACCAATAAATAATATGGTTAATCAGGAAACATAAATGTAAATAATAGATTTACTGCGGAAACGCGGGACCGGTAGGAAGAGTGACAAAAAATTTTGGAATTCGCTACTTAAAAATGTTAAGACTTAGAAAAAATATAGCCTAAAGTATTCCCAAGGACAGAGGAAGTCTGTTAAAAAATATTACG